GGGACGAGAAAGACATTTTAGAAAATATTGAGCTTCCGCAGAACTGTGGAAGCATTTTAAAGGTTCGAAGACTAAACAGAAAGGTGTATGAAGGTGAGACTCCCAAATTTATTCCGACAGAGACCGTAGTTTTAACCTTTGATGGGAAAGTATTACCTCCCAGGGTCTTTATGTGTTATAACTCCTTACCCGTAGAACTTTATATTTACCCCACATTGCAATGTTTTAATTGCTGCCGTTTTGGTCACACCAAAATGCAATGCAGAGGCACTCCAAGGTGTTACAAATGTGGTGACAACCATACAAGTACAAGCTGCAAGACTGAAAGAGATGATGCTGTGTGCATCTTATGTTCTGGTTCCCATTTTGCAACAGATAAAAAGTGCCCAGAGTACGCTAGGCAAAAATCAATTAAAGAAACAATGGCTAGAAAGGCTATATCTTATTCAGAAGCCAGTAAAGCCAATCCACCAGTTTCTAAATCTTATGCAGACGTTGTTGCTTCTGCTTCATCGGCCCCTTCTGGTCCGAATATTAAGTATTCCAGCCCCTATAATGTAACAAGTCCTTCTAACACTCCCACTCAGTCATTTAGGAAAACAATTTTCATGAAACCCAAAACTCGTCCCAGAAATGTTAGTAAGGGATATGATCAAAAAGCACATGCAGAGCTTATTCAAGATTATAGCAATATTCCTTCCTTTTCTACAGGTTGTCTTAAAAACTACAATGATTTGTCAGAAGTAATAACCAAGGATCTCATCATTTCTATAATTCAGTACCTGTCACAATCTGACATAATTAAAATACCGACCAACGATGCCCCTTCTTCAAAAACTTATTTAAATCATGGACAGTCACACAGACCATCCACAAAACCAGTCTCTGGTGATTCAGTGGAATTGCCGGAGCATTAATAGTAAAAAAAGTGACCTCATTTATTTATTAAACAATTACAAACCTTTTGCCGTCTCTCTTCAAGAGACTTGGCTTCGTCCCGGATTCAATTTTAGAATTCCAGGACATATCTGTCTTAGAGAAGACAGAACAGATGGGTATGGTGGAGTTGCACTAATTCTTAGAGGAGGTGTGCCCTTTGTTCACATACCCATCATTAATCACAGTGATAAATTTTCCATTATTGCTGCTAGTGTAAATAATATTTGTATTGTAAATATGTATATACCTCACCCTTCCACTGAAGTTTTTGACGATATTTGTAACATTCTATCTTCCCTCCCGCGCCCTATTTTGGTCATGGGAGATTTCAATGCACAACATACTATGTGGGGAAGTTCTAAGTCCGATCATTATGGGGCTAGAATCTTAGACATCTTAGATAATAATAATTTATGCCTTCTAAACTCCGGTTGTCCTACTAGAAGGACACAGCCCCATGAGGGTATGAGTGCACCAGACCTTACCCTATGTAGTCCTTCCCTTGCTCCTACATTAAACTGGTGGCCTCTATCTTCTTCATATGGAAGCGATCACTTCCCACTAATTATATCATTTCCCCAAAAAATTGGAGAACAAACATCAAAGGCTCCTCCACGGCTAAAATATAGACTTAAGGATGCCAACTGGTCATTATTTAGAGATAAAGCTCAACAAAATTTATCATCCATACCTCTAGTAAATGACAGCAATAATCATCTTTGTGCTGAAGCTTTTACACGGGCCCTACTTCAGGCTGCTGATGAAGTTTTTCCAATTAAAAGTAATAGTGGCAATGGTTATATTCCATCACCTCCTTGGTGGGACAGTGAGTGTTCTGCTGCTATAGCTGAGAGAAAGAGAGCTGAAGGAAATTACAGGAAAAATTCTACAACACAAAATTTTAATATTCTTAGCAATCTTATAACTAAAACACGTAAATTATTAAAACAAAAAAGATTCAATGGCTGGAAATCTTTTTTGTGCCTCAATTTCACCAGACATTTCTCCATCTGAAGTTTGGCAAAATATTCGGAGATTCAGATCCGCCTTTAAACCTCCAAAGTCTCATTTTATGGATAGCAGTACAGTTGATTTGTTTCTTGACAAATTAGCTCCACCATATGTCCCATCTATAGATAATATTTCTTTTGACTCTCAGCCTTCTCTCCTCTCCCAGCATAATAGCAATTCACTCATTTCCTTTAGCCTTTCAGAACTCAAAGGGGTTCTTTCAAAACTTAGGGACTCAGCCCCAGGTTGTGATGGAATTCCATATTCTTTTCTTCAAAACCTAAATGACTCCTGCCTTTCTTATTTTCTCAGTTTAATTAATTCAATCTTAACATCTGGTAATATACCTCCGTCATGGAAAATTCACGAAGTTATACCAATACATAAGCCCAACAAACCGATTAATGACCCATCATCATACAGACCAATAGCATTAGCTTCAGTTATCTCCAAAATTTCTGAACATTTAGTTAAGAATAGACTAGAATGGTTTGTTGAGAGTAAAGGATTACTATCTCCAAACCAGTTTGGATTTAGGAAAGGCAGGTGTACTATGGATAGTCTCAGTATTTTTATGACAGACTTAAGATTAGCATTTTCATACAATAAGCCTGTGTTAGCAGCATTCTTAGATGTGTCTGCAGCCTATGATAATGTCAACCTTTCAACTCTGAAACAAAAAATGATTAATTTGGATATCCCACAACTTTTTATAAGCTTCACTATCAATCTTCTCTCTGGTAGAATGCTTAAAGTAATATCAGAAGGCCAATACCAATCCCGTATTGCCTGGAAAGGTTTACCCCAGGGCTCGGTTTTGAGTCCCTTACTTTACAATATATATTCTCATGATCTGGAAGCCTCCCTTAAGGGTAAAGTTAATACACTCCAATATGCAGATGATTTACTCTTATATATCTCAGGTAATTCTGTTGACAACATGTCTGATACTATGACATATTCCCTTAAGTTGCTAAAAGTCTGGCTTGACAATAACTCTCTAAGCCTTTCAGTTGCTAAAAGTATGATAGTCTTATTTTCACGTATGAGACTTCCTCCATCAGTGTCTGTATTTTATAATAATATTAGAGTTTCCGTTAAAAGTGAAGCAACATTTCTTGGAGTAATTTTAGACTCAAGACTTACAGGAAGCTCTCATTGCAAATATATAAGTGCCAAATGTGAGAAGATTCTAAATATATTGCGTTGCCTCTCTGGAGTTTGGTGGGGAGCCCACCCTTTCTCTCTAAAGCTTCTATATAATGCCCTAATAAGAAGTATTTTAGACTATGGAACATTTATACTTGAACCCTGTAATACAGTAGCTCTCCATAAGTTAAACATTATCCAGTCTAAGGCTCTGAGAATAATTGCTGGGGCTATGCGTTCAAGCCCTATTAACGCTTTGCAGGTCGAATGTTCTGAAGCTCCCCTGCACCTCAGACGACAATTTCTTTGTGACAGGTTCCTGTTTAGAGCATTCCAAGTCTTTAATCATCCTCTTTACTCTAAGTTACGGTCTCTGTTGGAATGTATGGATTATCCGTACTGGGCTCATAAATCGCCGCCATGCCTTATTATTAGTCTCCAAAAATACCTAGCTCTTGAAGCTCCAACACATAGATCACAATTCCTTCCTATATTTTGTGTTAACTATGATGCCTTAACATTAAATCCTTCTATTTTATTTGATTTCGGTATATGTAGACAAGATCCTTCTGCCAATGCCAAATTTATTAATATTATTGACAGTGACAACCGATGGAAAAATTGCCATTTAATTTTTGTGATTCTTCCAAACCCGGCTCCGATAAATGTGTGGGAATTGGCGTTTTCCATCAACAGTTTGGCATTGTACAGAAAATAAAATTCCCTCCAGAGACTTCAGTATTTACTGGAGAATGTTTTGGTCTGCTGAAATCTCTGGAGTACATTTTAATAATGAAGTTAAAAAACTCAATAATTTTAACCGACGCTAAAAGTGCCCTCCAAGCCTTGGAAAGATTTCCTTTTAGCAATAACAGAAATAATCATCCAGTCATTATTGCATGTCGTGATCTATTGCATCAATGTTGCATCAAAAATTACACAGTTTCTTTTGCTTGGATTCCGGGGCACTCAGGTATCTTTGGCAATACCAAGGCCGATAGCCTTGCCAAAGCTGCGGTCAATGACGGAGATCTGGTTCCGTACAAAAATTTTTGTTGTGATTTGGCTCTCCTGCCTAAATCCCAGTTATTGAATTCTTGGACAAACATTTGGCGTTCTTCAAGTCAGACTAAAGGTCGATATTACAGCACGATTCAGGAGGATATACCTTCTAAACCATGGTTTTCAAATCTGACGCTTGGTAAAGCTATCACTTCGACCCTTATACGTATGAGGGTAGGCCATGCATGCATTCCTTTGCATTTGGCAAGGCTTAACATTTTGCCTAACGATATTTGTGAGTGTGGCAATGACGTTGGGGATTTTAATCATATATTCTTCGCCTGCACTCGACATGACCGTTCCGCTTTTATTTCCTCACTTTTATCCATTAAAATTCCTTTTCCTACTTCAATTTCTGTCCTATTATCTAATATAAATATGGATGTATATAGAATTTTAGCCAGTTTTATTTTTCATAACAATATAAAATTATAACCATTTATGTACTTATATAATAAATTTATCTGATCCTTTTCCAAATTCCGCTCCAATTTCTAATCCAATAAAATAAATCTAACAACGCACTTCCTAACTTTTTGACATGGCTGACGCACAAACCGTGCAGGCCAAGAAAGGAAAAAAAAAAAAAAAAAAAAAAAATACTAATAACAAAAGTCATAACAGCTGTCAATGATATTTAAACTTTATTTACGTACCTACAAGGGATCTGATTAATTTTTGAATTAATTTTAATTTAATGCATACTAATTGTACTTTTGCCTGCTTAAGATGTCCTCGATCCAAACTCATAATACTATTTAATAATAAAGTTACTGCGTGTGTTTTACATATTATATAGAATACTTTAAAACTGCACCATAGTTCTAAAGTTTTAAAAAATGGAAGGTGGCGAGTGGAGAAATAATATAATAAATCAGCTACGAGCTCGAAACAAAAGGGAAACTTTTGCGTTTCAGGATATTTTTACATTTCGTAAGTACACATTAACATAACCTTTCTAAACAACTATTTGTTTACTATTCCATAATAATGATTATTAAAATGTTATAATATACATAACAAAGGATTTAAGTCAACACACAACAATTAAGGTATATAGCTTTCTCTATAGATCTTTCTTGGATTTGTTTTCTAGTTTCTTTAAAGTAACAGTTCCCTGATAATAATTTGTTATATCTTTTCAGAAAGCAGGTTATTTGATAATGTAAACACACTTAAAAATGAAAATCTACAGCTGACTTTAGTCAATGAGAGAATAAGATATTCTAACACAGAAAGTGTTTCTTCTGGAGGAGGTTTGTAGTCTTGATTCATAACTTTTTATTATAAAATAGATAAAACAACTTTATCTAAACTACAAACAAAGAAATTTAAGAAATATTATGATCAGTAAACAAAATTATGGTGTTAATAACTCCATAATGAATTGATGGATCTTAAAATCGGTTTAATACAAGTACATTATTAGTTATGGTAGCCAGTATATTTAATTACATTTAACTATTTTATAGGTATTGTTAATGAAAAGATTCAAGCCCTAGAACAAAAAGTATTAAGCCAGCAAGAAGAGTTGACATCATTACACAGGAGACGAGGAGAGAGTTCTCAACAAATAATAAACTTAAATGCTAAAGTACATGATTTAGAGAAGAACTTACAAGCTAAAGATATTATGTATGTATTTGTAATTATACTTTAGAACATTGAGTTTTCATCTTACTTTCTTTTTTAATGAAAGATTACCTGACATTCTTTTCTTCGAGTCTCAATCCCATGAATGACATGTGTATATTCATAGCTGATAAATTTAATGTACTTTGAGAATAAATATCTATAAGGCTTGTGTATTGGATTTTTATATAATCATGAGATTCAGAGTTGAGATTTAGTGCAAACTATGAGTGTGTAAAAATTTAATATGTGTTCATACTAATCACAATATCTTGACAGTGAATCTCCCTTCTAGTGGTCTTTAGAGTAAATATATTTAATTTAGTTTTTTTAAATTAAATAGTGATACTGGTTATCAAATTCATTAATAGATGATATATGTTGATGTTGATCATGAGCATATATTTACTGAACAGTTTGTATTAAATATTGGCTTTAAACAAAATAAACATGAATCATTATACTGCAAAGCATAATCATATATTTATATACTGACTACCTGTATATCAAATATATATGTAGTCAGTTATTATGTTCCTAATATGTATATTGTAATATTAAAGTCAATTAGGGGGCGTCCATAAATTACGTGAGGTGTTTAAGGGGGCGAGGGGGTCGAGTCAAATCTCATTTAATCTTACGTTGGAGAGAGGGGGGGTCTCGGCAAATATCACGCAATTTTTTTCTGGTTGAAATTTTTTTTTAGGAAAACTGTTGATCCTAAAGGCTATCTCTGCAATTTCCCGCTTACCTAAACGCTCAACATTTCACTTATTTTGTTTTAGGCGTAAATAAAAGCACGAAGCAATTTTTTTTTCTTTTTACAATAACAATCCAACGCGTTAACGTAAGAAACCCACGTTTTGAAAAATCTCACGTGAGATTGGGGGTTGGTGGAGGGGGTTGAATAAAATCTCACGACATCTCACCAGGGGGAGAGGGAGTGACAGAAAATTTAAAAAAACATCTCACGTAATTTATGGACGCCCCCTTATTTATTTTTTAAAACTTTGTTGCATCATATACAAATAAATAAAATTATTAAAATCTGAATTTAAAACTAAAAGCTTATCTTAAGGTTCATGAATCTCAAATCCAAATTGCAGTACACAAGAAAAACAAAAATGACAATTAAGCAGGATAGGATTTGTAGTTTTAAATTTTACGGAACCTAAGACAATTAGTGTAAATAGTTTTATACAAATAAAATTTCCACTAAACTAAAAATGATTGAAATAAGAATTAATAAAATATACATTATAACTACTATCTTTTAAATTTCAATGACAGACATCGAAACAAACAAAATTTCTTCAACAATAATATGACAAATATTTAGAATTTCAGAAAACACAGCTCTTATTGCATCACTTCGGGCTGAAATTCAGATGTATGAAAATAATATGACAGAGTTACAAGGACTTAATCAAGTTTTAAGAGATGAACACCAAGCATTACAAATAGCATTTGCAGCTATTGAAGACAAGTTACGGAAAGCTCAGGTAATTCTCATTTCAATATATAAAACAAAGTTGGGTCATTCAAACACTTATAACTCAGGGAAGGCACCAATTTTCATGGGTTTTTTTTGTTCTATTTGTCTCTGTCCCAACTAGCAGAATAACTATAAAAACATTGTCAAAACATAAAGAAATTAAAAAATACATCTAATACAAAATCTTCATGGGTATCACAATATTCGGATAATGACTTATTTTAAATTTAGTTAGATTGACATAACTATATGTATATTGGTTGTCAAATTTATGCAAGTGTTCAGAAGTTTATTCCAAAGTCTTGACAACTTCTACATTCCAATTAATCTGATATATTTCCAAAGATATTCAAGTTCTTAATTAATCGTTAAGATATTTCAAATACTTACATTAACATGTTAGAAGACATATGTATATTTCCGTATTTTGCTTACTAATAGAAGAATGATAGTAAACAGATAGACTTTAACGTCAATGTTTATAAACATAAAATAGGTTTTCAGTTAATTTTGTCTCTCAATGTACCATCTGGACCTAAATTTATGACTACCTATACAAAAAATAAAGGTGCGGAGGCGAATCATTCGTAAACACAATGAGCATTGTAGAGGTTTATTCATTTTTACATTAAAATTTGAGGAAAGATGTTCAAACATTTTCGAATCACGTCAAGCCGAAATGTTATATTTCTAAAAAGACAAAAGACGTTCTCCCAGCTAGGAAGAGTTTTATTGGATAATTTAATTGTGACCATGCAGACTAAAAAACGCATTTACTAATAGGAACGTATTAATAATAATTATAATAAAGAAATATATGAATAAAATTATCACTTTATATAATAACATATTTAAATATTGATACAAAATACATAGTTCTAATGCTATTTTCTTTCTAATAATAACATTTGGTTAGCCAATTATTTGTCGGGAAGTCGTTTAATATAACGTAAACTTCGTAAAATGAATTTCATTTTCATGACTAGATTATCATAATTTTAATGAATTCATCTGCTTTGTGGTCATATAATACCATTATTTATTTCGTTACCATCAATATATATATACGTATATATAACTATTGTGGACAAAATATATATAATTTTATTTAAAATCTTCAATGAAGAGAACACCCAAAACCCTTCAGTACCTATGTTCTTCTTGATGCGTAGACAAAAGCAAGGCATAAACACCTAATATACTTACATTGTACGATATTATGTATCTTGATAAGATATTATATATTTTGGTTAAACATTCTCGAAAATGAAAAAATACATATGATAAGGTGATTGAAAATAGATTTGTCTATACAATGGTGGATTTTCACATTTAATTGATAACATTTTTGGAATGCTCACTGTCATAGCAAGGAGTATAAGTTACGAAATTAAAAACTAACATACATCTATAAATAATGTGTAAACATTACCTCCGTGATGCGCACGCGTTTCCATTTCTACGCAACTTTACGAGTACTATGGACTAAATCTTAAGAAGTATCTCACTGGAGCTTCATATTTTTATTGCATCATTGGAATTATGGCACCGTGCCAAATCAATTCGGAGTTTTTTTCCGTTTATAAGATGTTTGTATTTCAAAATTGTTAGAATAATGCAAATTTCAATTCACAATTCATTCAAATAATATTGAATGATAATGATTCATTAGAATACGAATTAATTCTAATTATTGTTTCAATTTCAATCAAGATTTTTTTAATTTTTACGTAAAAACCTGGAATATCTTAATATTTATAGATTAGGTTTGGCTATTTACGACAGCACTAATAATATTATTGCATTTACGAAGTAACACCCCGTAGGTTTTATGAGTTGCGTGATTATTTGTGTTGGAAACTAGTTGTTCATACTGACTTTGATATGCGCTCGTATCAGGAAATAAATAGATATATCGATTATTATATAAATATTTTCAAATGTGTATAATTTTGGAACTTTAGTACTCCATTGAGCAGACGTTTTAATTTTACCGGTAACGTGAATATGAACAAAACACTTTTTTTACACTTAGCAAGAAATAAAGTACAATTAAAATAATTAAATAATAACGGGCGGCCTTCCAGGCAACCGTAAGGAACCGAGAAAATGTAATTAAATAAGGTGAGCGCAAGAAGTGCCAATCTACATAATATATATACAATTACTAATTTAATTGTTTTTAACAAACATTACATAAAGAATGGATAAAACAAAGCAATAAGTATATAACATATAAGATAGGAAAAATATATCTAATTGTAATCAATCGATACTGAATCCAGGATAAATGTACGGACATTGGAAAAGTAGAATATTATTATATATCCATACTAACGCTAATGTCTTTTATACGATCATAGGTTTCAGTCAAAATTTAGCATCGTGTGGGCACGAGTGTTTCATTTCTTAAAATCGCATTTCGTGTGATATATTGCTTGTTAAATCGTTTATAGTGTTATAAATCTGTTTTCGTCAAAATGTATCGAAATGTCAGTTGTCAGTGATGTTTATATGTTGTAATAAATGTGTATTTTAAATAATATAATTTTTCTTTCAGGATGAAAACCGTTCGCTAGTGGAGAGATTGATAAAGTACAAGGCGAAAGATGCTGACAAAATGAATGAAGAAAACGAACATTTTCTTAAGTATGTATTTTCGTATTTATTTGCACGTAGTTACGATAGAGTTTAGCTATATACATTTTTATATGAATTTTGAAGCACAAATAGAAAGCTAAACAGCGAAGTTTTGCACGTAGAATTTAGATTTTTGTCCGCTATTTTATTGTAAATTATGCACTAGTGACTAGACTGTTAGAGTATGTGCTAGAGTAGTGTAGCTACCAACGGCTCGCTAAGAACGTAGATTCACGTTAAAATGTGCATAAAACTTGAGAATAAAATAAATATAAGTTTAAAATTTTAACATAGAAAGCTAGAAAGTTATTTAAAAAAATCTTTTTAAATTGAATGATAAAAGTATAAAGATACTCAAAATGCTTAGTGTACCGTTGGCGAATGAAGGGTTATGCGTGTGACACGCGGTATAGCGCCTGCCTAGTTTACGATTTATGTGTTTTGCTTTTTTGTTAATTTTTTCAACAGGTCAAGCAACCCTACTGCGTTTTTGATCAACACATTTGGTAGAGTTAGTTTCGGGTGAGTTTGACATATTGAATGACGATATGGTGGTATGACGGTAATGTGGCGTAAACTCTCCATTGCGTTTAGCCCGCACCGTTTTTCAAATACGGTTTACGCAAGGGTTCCTAATGGATAAACGAGAATGATAATATTCAAAGATTTTTGGTGATTCAGAAACGAGCCCGCCTGGCACCTATGCGTCAAAAATGTATTAGTTTCTGAATCTCACAATTTCGTGCTCTTTTCCATGGTTTAAATGCAGCAAGTTTAAGATAAATTAATTTATTATATATATTTTTCTCTTTGGACTCCGAAAACCTATTGCGTATTCCGTTGCGGTTGGCTAACTCATAATATGTCCTAACTGCACTCTGAAACTGACTCGGATTTCTGAATTTATGGATTTTGTTCTTTGCATTTGTGATGTTTGGTTTGAAATTTGTTCTATTTTCAAATGCCCTAATTCTATCTTTTCTTGAAATGTCAACGAAAAATTTAAATTATGATTTTGTGAATTGGATATTAAATCAAAATTGTTTGCACTACACATTCAGCCAATAGCGTGGATCCATTTAACTCAACATTGTATTATTTAAACAGGCTTATTACATATAGATGTCGCCACTTGTAGGATAAAGTATAACTACGATGTGTTTCTGAAAACGTTACTGTTGAGTGATTTTGTGGGTTAGTCTAAGACGTAGATGGTCAGGAAAATCCTTCTTAATTACTTTAAATTATGCATTATAAAGACAACATTCACAATGATTTTAAAATGTTTCACCCCTTAAAATAAAAGATATTTGGAATCGGCTTCAAGTAAGTAAAGCCACTTTCCTATTGCTACTCCGCTACTCTAGCTGTGAAAACTCTATGGATCGATCGAAGAAAAATAGACAACATACATTTTATGCGTATGGGGCCGTTCAAGTATTACGTAAGCACTATAGAGTAAAGGGGGGATTTTCATATTTGGTGATTACGTCAACAGTAATTATTTACTTTTTTACACATATTACCCACACATTGCCTATGCTTAGATACGAAATACATTTTCGAAGATTCCTACAAAAAGGGAATATTTTTGAGAGCTTTGCTTACTTTAGCTGACAAGAGGAGGGGGAGGGGGGGACAAATTGCAGTCAAAAATCATTTATTCATGTAGATAACACAATGTACACTTATGAACGTCAAAAAAAATAAATATACATTAAATGCTTCTAATTTCACATTTACTGCCAGTTCTCAAATCAAGGGCGTAGAATGGAAGAGAAGAACTGGCAATAAATCCTGGCAGTAAATCTTCTTACGTAATACTTGAACGGCCCCTATTCTAAGACTTAACTTAATGTAATCAAAACTATAATACAAATATAAATAACAATTAAAATCTTGTTCGAGACAGCCATGAAGTCTGAAAATTGTAATAGGCCTGTTTAAATTCACGTGTGATACTAATAAAGACATTTGATGTGTACATCAATAGCTAGAACCTTAAGACGAAGCCTCCTGCGCCTAACTAGGTTTAAGCTTACAGCATGGTGCGAGCTTTGAAATTCCTGTTATATATTCTAGACGGTCATATGAGGCTACTTTGTAAGTTTTTAATTAAGGATTAAATTAATTAATATCATTAATTAACCATCGGGCACTGATAATGTAATATATCGATTCATTGTGTCTCAAGTAGACAATAAGAATTAAAGCTTGCGCGATTTGAGGCAGAATATTTAGGCAATTCGATCTTTTGCGCATAATTTGAAAGAATGAAATTTTAAAATATTTGTAAGTAAGTGAAGAAAATTGTACATAATTTAGTAAGATGCGTTTTGCATGTTTATACCGCATGTGGAATGAAATCTAACTTAAATCAAAATTTGGTTTTGGGATGCAAGGGAAAACGAGGCGACGAGCTTACAACGAATGCTTGAAGGATCTGGCAAAGTCCCATTCATTATATTCAATATATTAAAGAGATATTTTCTTTTCCAGAAAAAAGAGTGATAAAGTTAAAAAAGAGCTGGAGGAAGCAGCTAGAGAAGGCGGGAGTAGAAGCAGTGGTTCTGGAGGTAGTGACGATAAAATTATGGATTCTTTGCCGTACTATGCAACGTCTCTACCGAATAAAGTTGCTTTGAGATTTGTAAGTATTTACTTTTTATCGCTAGAAATACGAAGTTGGTGCTAAAGGTCAGTACTCACATACGGTATTACTAAAACATAAAACCCATGGCATGGGCTTTGAGGCGCGCCGTTCAGTATTCACCGAGCCAAAGGATATCTGTGCAACAAAGGAGACGGTGGCTGTATTTAGCAAGTCTCACAGTGCTTTATAAGAAAATGAAAAGAAATGTATCATAACATTCATTTCTATTATTTCTTTGGGAGTAATCTTTGGACTTGACATTCCATAAACACTCACCTCAACTGTCTATATGTGTTAATAAAGTCTTCTATAGCGCTTTTGGAATAAACTCGCAAATCGATAAACAGTACCAGACTGACGCTCGCCTCGCGCCACACGCAGTCACGTCGAATCAAGATTGACGGCTCGCTTCGAGTAGGTTCGAAGAAAATTACTTTCATTTAATTCCAACGAGCCGGCTCGGTGCGAGCTTTCCAGCTGTGAGTTTTGCGGTCCACACGTTGATTTTTACTCGACTTCGAGTAAAACTATCGAGTAATACCGTATATGAGTACTGACCTTAAGAGTGAATTTGAATAACAAAGGTGAACTATGACTCATTTGTCAAAATCTTATATCATTTTGACGTACAGGAGTTAATATTAGCACTAAGTCTCGTTTCTGAGGCTGAGAATCGAGAATTTTATATTTTGACTTACCCCTAACTCCCTAAGTATAGAATAATAATAATCGCATTGGATTTTGAATGTCATATTTCGCGTTTAGTTTCGCCCTATAAGGTCGTAATCGATAAGCATGCGGATGTTTTGTCTATACTTGTTTACTTACTTCCTGGCAGTTTGAGTGTCCATGGGCGGCGGTATAACATACAATCAGATGAGCCTCTTGCCCTTTTGTATCCTATTACATAAAAAAACATTACAAAAGATACGAAATTGTTAATATTTTGTTTTAATTTCAGGATGCTCATGATGGCGAAGTGAATGCTGTTAAGTGGAGTCCAACTGATAGGATTGTTGCTACAGGCGGAGCTGATAGGAAAGTTAAACTATGGGATGTGTCTAAATGTAAGAATTTAATATTATTTAAAGCTTTTTTCTATTGAAAATGGCAGTTTCGAAAAAAGGATTTATTATTTTACAGAGGTAGCCTTTTTTATTTTTCAACGTAAGGAAAGAATGAAAGTAATATCCACTTTACACAACTGAGCGATTCCTAAGGCAGTTTTTGCTGCGCACCTTCACTATGTGGCCCAGCTGTCCAGTGTAATATTTCTAAAACAATATGACTGAGGATCCTTCAAGGAATAAGCGTACCAAATCTTAAAAGACCGGCGACGCACGAGCGTATGTGATTGTGGGCGGCTGTGTCACTTTACATCAGATAAACTGATGAGCTGTTGTGCCCATTTGCCCCTGTTATATATATATATTTACAAGATCTATTAGAAGTCAGCATAAAATACCAAAACTATAGTTATTAAAAGAAAACAAACATTTAAAAAAATTAGATATATCTCCTGTGCGTGATTGTTTCGCCTCCTAAACGATATTGATGAATTTTTTGTGTGTTCTAGTGCCTTCGTGAATGATATTATCTGCTGGTGGTAAACCTATTAGCTGGATTGTGCGATTGTCATCCCTGAAGTCATAGATTCAAACCCCGGCTGAGCACCAATGGATTTGTCTGTTTATCAACGCATTAAAACTCTTACGGTGAAAAAAAACCTTATAAAAAAACAGCTACAACTTTCTTGGCCTCAGAATTTTGTATGTTTCGTGATGTTTTTTCTTAGTAGGCGAGTAGAATAGTCTTCTGTGCCTGACACACGCCGTCAACTTTTTGGGTATAAGGCATGCCGGTACGAGTGAATGTAAAAATTCTCACATAAAATAAAGTTCAATATTGCTCAGCCGGGGATACCTACGACCTCTCTAGAGGTGTCTCTTTACCCACCCTAGGTGGATAAAGAGGCACCTCCAAACCAAGGCCAAAAGGCCGTTCAAGTATTACGTAAGCTCTATAGGGAGGAGGGGGGTCTTAGATTTTCTTATTTGGTGATTACGTCAACAGTAATTAGTTACTTTTTACACATATTACCCACACATTGCCTATGCTTGAACGAAATGCCTTTTCGAGGATTCCTACAAAAAATCAATACGTTTATGTACTATTATTTTTGAGAGCTTTGCTTACTTTTGCTGACAAGAGGGGGGAGGGGGGATAAATTGCAGTAAATCTGCTTACGTAATACTAAAACGGCCCCCTAACAACTAGACAAAGATATATTATTATTTTTTAGTAGGTACATCAGAAAACAGAGGTACCCTCGTCGGATCAAATGCTGGTGTGATGTCAGTGGACTTCGATTCAACTGGTGCCTTCATTGTTGGAGCTTCGAATGACTTCGCTAGTCGGGTGTGGACTGTTGGTGACCAACGATTAAGGGTAAGTACATTAACCTAAAAATTAATTTATAAATTAATATTTATTAGAGGTAATGTTTCTGTTAAGAAATTAGTAAATTTTTATTATTTATTAAAAAAATATGTCGTATATTCTTTGGTTTTAGGTGGTCAATAGATTTTTAGTTGTAATATATTATATGTTATACTGAAGCTATAGAGTACGTCTTCATTTACGCAAGTCAGTTTAAATAAAGCTTCTTTCACGGTTAGAGCAGTGTTGGCCTAGTGTGTGCATGTGTTCGGATCACAGCAGTGCACAAATGGACTTTTCTATGTGTGCATTTAATATTCGCTCATACGGTGAAATAAAAAACATGGTTAGGCATGCAACCCAAAAATCGACGTCGTGTGTAAGACAGAGAATCACCTAAATGCCTTTTAAATAAAATAAGAGATCACGTAGATACAGAAATCTGAGTTCAAGAGCTAGAAGTTGCGTAGCGCCACTTGTCTTCTCTTTTTTTCATTATTTAAATAATTAATGTCCAGTCTAGTTTTTTATGGCTTTGAGTGGTCAGCATATTGCCGTTAAAGAAGTTTATTTAATAATTGCTGTGAATAATTATAATAGCAGTGATAAGGACTAACTTCTATTTTAGGTTTATAGTATCATAAGATTATCACTGTGCTGTTTATGTATCCATAAAATATATATCATTAATCTAAACAAATTTCTAGCAAAGGACCAGTGCAGAAACGCTACCTCCATGATTTAAGAAATTTCCGTTATAAATTTATAGATGGCGCTAATGACTATTATTAAATTTAATTTAAATGTTCAGAAATTTAAGAGACACTTTTACATTAAAAATATTATGTAACATTTCAGTTTCTAAATGAACTAAATTATATTCAAGCAAAAACTAAATCAGTCGTATGTCTCTGATATATTTTTTTACGATTGCTTTAGATATTAAATTGAGGACAACCAAACACAAATTTTATTCAGTGTGAAAATCCAGGAAATTTCCTGGAAATCAAGTCGCAGATCCCATGGGGACTTTTTGCATTGTAGAAGTCGCATTGGTCCGCCAAGCATCCGTGAATATACAAAAAACAGTGTATTTGATAATAAATTCATCAAGGTCGAAATCAAGCAAAGTGAATGAAATAAAAATTATTAAGAATACAAGTTTGCTAAAACGACTTGGGGAAAGCTCTTAACGGAGTTGCCAAAAATGTCGACAGTCATTTTTCATCACAGTATTATTATGAACCAAAAATCTCATAGAGAATAATGAATTAGTACTTCATTTTAAAGTGTTGAAGGCTGATTTAGTGTTTGTGAATAAGGCTTTAACTTCTGACATTTCATAATCAAGATAACTGTTAAATTGTGATTTATTAACGCCATGTAATCCAATTCTGTTCTAATGAATTACATTCTGTTATATTTTTTTTCCATCACAATGAGGAAGATAAATACTTATAAAGACTGCAGAAATGAGGACAGGCACATTTCAGTGTCATTGATAATTTTTAGGCCTTCCATTCCCACGAACACAAATGCTTATGGTTTCGCGGTGTCGGTAGCAATAACTGTTTACGATAAAAAATATTATCTTCATGACATAGATATGTTACACAGTTGTGAATTATAAAGTTTTTATAAAAGTTGTCATTGTTAAAGATAGAATATAATAAATTACAAATTTATTCTTGAACTTTATAGTTTTATTGTACATAAATGGTAGTTAATCAATAATTTATAATAGTATTATATTCACGTTTTTATCGACCTTTGATGTACGGTCCAATGAACTTTCAAGATCATAGTTTATTATAAATAAAATGATATATGGATCATAAAAATATTTGTAGGGAAAATAGTACGTTGCACTTTGATACTAATTGACCATTGTTTGTTGGACATACTGCGCTAGTCTTCATATTATATCGCAGAGGGTACAATAAATTATACTTATATAGCATGAATAGGGACAGACACATCAAATAACTATTAAGTTATTTGAATAAACAGAATAAGACAGGCCTATACTACTTACACTTGCATTGCGAGCAATAATATACGTTAGTTGGTGGCCGCACCTTTTCTATACATTTGATTTAAAAAAGTTAATTCTTATAAAAACATGTCTTTTGGATGAGAATAAAACTTTTATTATTGCTTCATCGAAGTCCATCTATCAAAAGCCTTCGCAGGCGTACTTAAAAGTGTCCACTATTTCCTATATCTCAGGAACCAGGTTGTTCTAAAGACTGGGTTCGAAATAAGTACTGCCGTGTTCAGTCCTGATTTTAAGTAGATGAATGTGATTATTGTTAGGCTGTGTGGGATTGAAGTTAAGCATGTCTACTACGAATATAATTAGAAAGCGAACCTTTTTAGTTCCAAATACGTGTGCTGCCTTTTTTATACGCCAGCCATTCAGAAAGTATTATTCGTAGATATAATAATAATAGTGATTTATCGTTCATACCACATTACAATGCAATAGTCAATAAAGCTTCTAGAATGTTAGGTTTCATAAGGCGGTCGACTAAGTGTTTTAAGAATGTGAAGCCTAAAATCATACTTTACAATTCTCTGGTCCGTAGCATTTTGGAATATGGTAGTGTTGTTTGGAACCCTCAATATTCTGTCCATGTTGACAGAATCGAACGAATTAACCGCCATTTCTCCAAACATCTATGCCGATTAAATAATAACATTAGCTATAAATGCGAGTATGAAAAAAGACTAGCTTTCTTTCACTTACAATCACTCCGCGATAGACGCCGCCTTATCGACATTATATTTGTTTTCAAAATTTTAAATAACTTAGTAGATTTACCTAATGTTTTAAGTCAAGTTAACTTCCTCTTAAAGAGGAACACAAGAAAAACTTCAATCCTTTTTTACGTTCGGGCAGTGAGGACCAACGTCGGTTGTAATGCTCCTCTACACAGATCTCTATCGACATTAAACGACGCTCTGAGTACATGCCAAGCAGATCCATTTAGTGACAGTCTCCATGTCTTCAGGCGTAAGATACTGCAGCCAATGTTGATCCGTGACCAATAGTGATAATTGCAAAGTTGAAAATTATTGTTTTTTATTTATATGTGTTTGTTTTTTTTTTTAATCTAGTTTTTTTTTACTTTCTCTTCATCATTGTAATGTTTCCCTATAAATGTTGTGCACACTTGTTATTGATGCACATGCATGTATCTTGTTTTCTATGTTATGTGTTCTCTGTAAGTATTTGTATGTGTTTCGTTAGTGTGCCTTTTGAAATAAAATAAAATAAAATATAACAGAAGTGGCGACTACCAGGATAGCGGTTAATACTGTAACATATTATACTATACATCATAATGTAAATATCTTGCGTGGTGATTCTTGATTTGATTCCCAGTGAAAAATATTGATTTCGCACGTGTATTCATGGAAGTTATAGCAGACTGTCGTGGTTACGGAAGAAACAAACACTGCGTTTTTTTCAGATCAAAATGGTTATTTCAAAAAGATTATCCCTATTATATGAACCTATGATTTACAAAATGGCTCTATAATGTCGAGATTCGACGCGAAAATGCTCAGGTAGTTTGTAATCATCAAAATTGCGAGAAAAATGATTGATTGTGTAACAATATGTATACCTACGTGGATGATATTGTTGAACGGGGGCGTGGCAGCGTGCAAGATGCCTATTAGCGCATTGTTAGCGCGCGTTGGCTGGTTCACTTCGTGATCCCGACCGATCACTTCCGACAGTTTACGAGAATATTCGTGTTACTATTTCTGTTTCTAACAAATATTGTTAGTAAATAATTGTCTATGTTTAGAATGATAAAAGGATTTGAATAACAAGCATCCCTTAATAATAACATTGAACATCTATACATTCGACTTACGTTTTAATTTCAAATAGCATGGGGAAAGAATTCACCAAATGATAAAAATACATTCACTATAGATTACTAAACTTGGGAAAGCATCTGTATGTTTGTATTTATTACGTCACACTAGTGAGTAACCCATTTTATAGTTATTTTGAAAACAACAAGTCTTTGCTTCCATATAATATTAATTTTTATAAGAATAACTGTAATGAAATAGCTGTAAACAATAGCTCAGGCATCAATATTGTTTATTAATGAAATTCAAATCCGGTGTCTGATTGAAAACAATATTCAAATTGGTTTCAGTAACAAATCGTTTGTATCAACGTTTACAATATGTATTAGGGTGATTGATCGGGGTGTCCCGCCTGTGCCTTACCTGTTTAATCCCGTTTTGCAAATAAGGAACTGTCAGTCAACTAGTAAATGATAATGCGGTTCAATAACCGTGACAAATGAACCTGGTCCCACCCACTTTGGACACTGGTTTACGTGATTATATCGATAGTCGATCATTCATTATTTTAAATTATCACTTCCGCCCATTGGTTAAAACTATTCGTTCTTATTTCAAATTGTAATTTCCGCCCATTCGTTACAGTGCAAATGCGCCATCTATTTATAGTATGTAATACTTAACAAACATGTTCGAAAGAAAATACATACAGTTCGGATTACATACATAATCACGTATCAATCTCGTAAGGGAAGATTGTCTTGAGCAAATAGATCTGCTATTCCAGGTTATAGAATTATAGTTTCCGTGTTTGATTTCGCATTGGGGTCTGCGTGACCACGATCGCTCAGGATGATTCTGATGCAAACACAAATTACACAACGAATTCCCGTAACCGAGAGCGAGTAATCGCCATAATAATAAGCCAAAATCGATGCATCGTGAACGCACAGGCTCCGTACATTCCTCAGTGATTTACAATCTGCTAACAGATTTGTTGATTCGCCCTCAGCACTAACACTATCAATTTTTGTCATTACCCAGCTACTGGCAGGCATTACTTGCACCACCATGTTTTCCGTACATTGTATGTTGGAACGTTAATTTCAGAGAATTCCTCTCATCACGACCCGATAACAGGGTATCGAGTAGTAATAGCAGACCTTACTATTTCCATTGTCCAACTGTGCTCTTAACTGATGAAATGGACGAAGCGATTAATATATACTATTACAATTCTGTTTACAAGTCAACATGAATCCTAATTTGAGCAGATTATCAAAATACGTACACAATGATATTTATTAATTATTATATGACGGCGCAATGTCGTTGTAGTTGGAGTAGTTGCTTCAGCTAATTATAACCTAAGTTACAGGGCCCGAAAATTTATAAACTAAACCAGGGACGCACCAACCTCCTAGGTCTGGGCCTCATATTTCTGTATTCGTATCATGATCATTAAACTATAATTTTTAACCCTTGTGACCGATATAGCAAGGTATTTTATTGTCTTGAACTGGTATTATGTACTTTATTCTTTATTTATTTATTTATTAAGAGTTCGTTGTAGAGTGTTGTACAGAAATATAATACAATTGATATAATTAAATAAAAAGAAGGGCAACTGGCTTCCTTACCGCTTTTGGAGCGATCTATTCCAGGCAACCACTGTGAGTTTTTTTTTTAAATTAAAAATAAGGTAAGCCCAAGAAGTGCAAAGATACGTAAGACATAGTTATTTATACAAAACTAATGGAACAAAACAAAGCAATTAAAAACATATGTAAACAGTGGACAGGACAATAATAAAAAGGACATAAAAAGGAAAAAATCCACATGAATCATGATAATTTCAGATCAGTTAGTACAAACTGATCTTTAAGTTGAAACTTAACTGTATTTGTAAAATGCCTTGCATTTAGAGGAAAATGTTATAAATTGCCCAAAATTACATTCTGCCGTTTTAAGCCGCGATGTCGCGTCGCTGATAAGATCGTATCTCAAAGAATAAGTCCCCTCATTGACCGTCGTTAGCAACTGAGAATAGCCACGATGTGTATTGTCCACATCTATTATAAGTGACCTCATTTTCATCCCGGAGAAAGTGTGCCCTAGTTCACATTGAAAAGTTTAAAGACATTTACACAACAATAGAATCGTTTTGAAACTAAAAGTACTACCAAATACTGCAACTCTTTGATTTGCCTACCTGTGCCTGAATGGTAACATCTGCGATCAATGTTGTGCTTTTGCAAAGTCATGCGCTTAAACAATGAAATGGCTTCGATAAACATGATTTGACCATGTACGGACGTTGGGGCATAATTTCACTATGAGCTCATTGTATTTGTATTATCGACGCACTCTCTCTTTCAATATCTGATAAGTACGGGAATTCTACCCGCATCAGCAAATCAACTAACATCGTGTTATGTCAAAGTTTGATCATAACCTCCAATGAAACGGTTCATTGACTTGTCTATCGTATCAGTACTATAATATTATATGAAATCCTTTATTGTACGAACGGACGTCGATGCAGACTGAAATTCCACCCACGACGTTCTTCGTTCCACAACTGAGTGTTTTAAGGCAGTTTTTGCCGAGCAGCACCACTGTGGAAGCTGCCCACTGAACTAGGGTACCGATTCTTAAAAGGCCGGCAATGCACTTTCGAGCCCACTGGCATTTAGAAAATGGACGCACATGGGCATTCACTTAACATCAGATGAGCTCGTTGAACCCTATTCTATAAAAAAAATCGTTATTTAATCTTATAAACATTATTATACGCGGTGTATGTTAATTTTCGCACTCGAATTCGTACTTAATTCTGTTGAATTTTGGAAACCAATACTTTATTAGTACGTGACGACGTACATAAGATCCATGTGAAAGCAAGAATGACTTCCTTATTTCATGTTCTGATAAATCCACTTATTAATCCTACGTATTAACCTAAGTTCCATTTAAATAACCTGTCGATGTTCCCTTATAAGTACTAAGCTAGTTATAATATATCATATCCTATGCCGGCAAGATGTAATCTAATTATTTATTGAATGGAATCGGAATTATCAAAGCCCATATCGATAAGTTCTCTGAACTTTGAATACCTTAAAGTTCCATAAATAAATTGTCTTATAAACGTCGTCTGTCTCATCAACGAATGAATATTTCATGAAACAGCTTATTTACGGTTTCATCAGTATTCAGTGGTTTTATTGTTTAACTGTTTACTTATCATGGAGTCTCACACATGTTACATTTACCGTATTCTTCTTATTACAATTCTGTGTGCTTCACCTTTTCAATGCCGTGAATATATTATGATAAGAGATTGTTAGCGAGATTCGGATTTTAATTGATAACTATCAATGTTCTAGTTAGCTGCTGCGGATGTTCAGTTCTTATATAATGATTATTTAAATTATAATCAAATGGTAGGATCTAGGAACAGGATGTAAAGGAATTCAAAAAAAGTTCTAGAAGTCGTCGGATATATTTATACGGTGGCCGTATATGCCTATAATTAAAATAAATTGCTATTTTTTCTTCTCGCTAAAACTCGAGAATGGCTGGACCGATTTGACTCATGTAAACATGTAAAATATATAATAAAAAACCTAAGCAAAAATAATTTAATTTTCCAATACATGTTTTGTATTGTAAGACACAATACAAAACATTTGATGTCTTTTGTTTTTTTAGAATATATAAACTCGTGTTTGTATTTAAACTTCTAAACGGCTAGAACGATTTTGATGAGTATTTAAGTGGATCTGAGAATGGTTTCGATCATTTACAATATTTCTTTTTCTAAACAACTATATGTTATACATGTATTTTTGCACTTCTTGCCTAGCTTATGTAATTTAAAACATTTTTTTTTTCTTTTCCCACAGTGGTTGCCTGGAAGAGATCGCTCGAAAGCGATAAGGCCGCCAGTTGCCTTTCCTTTACATGTAATTATGTTATTTTTTATATTATAAAGCAACAAAGTATAAATAAATAAATAAATAACATATTTATTTGTTTGTTTTTTTAAGTTTGAAAAATGTTGTATATAAGACGTGTAATTTTGTCTTTAAAATTGGAATTAGTTAACACATCTTATATGTATTCTTTGATGACTGGTTCGAGCTGACTAGTTAAGGATTTTTTTTTTTTAATAAACACTGATAAACTCACAACCTACCTTGTTCTCATTTTACCTATTTTATGCTATTTTTGATACCTACTATAGAAAATTTGGAAAAAGTTTTTTAGTACTATACAAAGGTGGCCTAGCAAACATCACAAGTTATTCAAGTTCAAGTCAGCTACAGTCTTCGTAGTATGAAACATAAAACAATGTTTCAAACTCATTCGAGATTACATTGTTTGAATTTTTATCTCTAATCATACGTCAATTCGTTTTCCTATACAAAACACATATCTAGAATCTTCTATAATATATAAGTTAAGATTCAATAATCTTAAACATCTAAACCTAGGTATTCTAGAATAAATCGAAACTATACCTACTACCGTCATGTGTGAATACGATGGAAGATAAAGCTACAAAGCGCACTCGCATCTTCAAAAGAATTCAACACTTTCTGCTCATTAATAGACGACTGGTGACGCGAGTCTATAGAGTGCAACTTCAAACGTGGTATATACAGCATCTTTGTTGAGCGATGGCTAAAAAGACCCTATTCTAAGAGTTGAAAGAGTCAGTTCTGTATGTCAAAGAATGCGTGTACATTTAAATCCTTTTTAACTGCCAAAAGGCTGTTCGTAGTCGCGTGCCGTCTGCGTTGATCTGATCGCGGGCACGGAGGCTGACGTGACGTGTGCAACTTCACGCGTGATCTTTTCAAGATATTTCTTCGATTATCTCGTCGTCAAATTGGCTTTATGCTCGTTATCAAATTCTTTTAACTGCGTCGCGTGTTGCCACGATGTGAAAGCAGTTTATAAGCAAATTAAGGTTTATATATCAATAGGTACTTAGTTAAAAAAAGTTGCGAAAATTGGGCGTTAGATAAATTTTGTTTCAACCATTTTTCTGTCATGAATAAGTTTTATTTATTATTATTTATCGTATAGTGTATTGTCTCTGTTCTGTGGCAAAATCTGCTTCACAAATTCACTGTATTGAGTAAGTTAAAATTTTGAAGCGTTATATTTATTTAATTGTAGGAATTATTAGTAATCGAGAGCTGCTGAATTATGTATGCACGTTATATCTTTATATATATAATTCTTCTGTGAGTGTGTATGTCACTGAACTTCTCTCTAACGACTGGACCGATTTTGATGAAATTTTTTGTGTGTGTTCAAGGGGATCTGGGAATGGTTTAGATTCACAAATCAGCCCGGCAGATGGCACTGCAGTCGGTACTTTCATACTTTGCTTAATATCCTAATCGCTTTAAATATCATGCAGGACAACGTCTGTGGGGTCCACTAGTACTGTCATATATTTATAAGCTTGATTAAGATATGATGCATGGAATATTATGCTTTGAGAATAGTTACCTTAATGTTTTTTGTTATGTTATTAAGTGATATTGATTGATAGTAAATGCTTTTTCAAACATAATAAAGGTAATTGTTTAGAACTTTGCTTTAGTCATTGTAGCGCTACGCCGTAGCTAGACTACGCAACGTTTAAATAAAATTTGTGGTTGTAAATTCAATTCCCTTACAATTTGATGTAAGAAATTTTTTAAGGAAATAATATCTGTTTGCTTTTTGGTTGGTTAGGTTTGTTTCAAGGGTTTTAAATAAAATAAAATATTATTTCTTTATAAATTTATTTCGCTGTACTTTTTCGACAATTTGGACGGTTGAAACTGGTACTTAATATTATTTGAAATAAATTCATAATAAGGCACTAATATCCATAAAAATACTATCGGTTCACTAAATATAGAAAATAGCACATTTTATTATAGGTAAGCAACATTTTGTTAACATTTAAGATTTATATTATAGGTATAATTCGTAGTTGAACATAAATTAAGTAAAAAAGAAACTATCCTAGGAATAAATTACTTGTATCGGAACTATGATAGTCTTCGTATCGTTTCTTGACTTGGTCGCTTCATCGATTATCTACTTAAAAGGTACAAAAATGTTACTTTTACTTATAACTATCGTGAAAACACTCTTACGCTACATCGAAAAATATGGTACAATACATATTATAATTCCTGTGGACTTTTGGACGTATTGTGAACGAATGAGCGACGTCGTCTCGATAACGACTACGACCATTGTCCCGCTGTCGACTTCAGGGATGGGGACAAGCAAGCGCTCACATCCAGAACAATCACGCAACTAACACACTATCCTCTCATCATTCATCCTCTATCACAAACGCTTCAGTGATCGTCCCCGTCTCTATGTCGCGCAAATCTTTTTCGTTTTTAGATTCGCTCCTATCATTAATAACCGCTGTCGCAGGTCTTCACTCGAAAGTTTCTCTGAGCCAAGACTCGACGGGGGTATTTAAGCTACAGATATACTACTATTGCAAACGCTGTTACGTCGACATTCATATAATAACTCAGAAGTGCCTCTGGTGTGCTCGAGAGAAACTAGGGTCGTAGACTTTGCAAAGAGATGAAGGGGCATTGGGACCTGGGAGTAACTCTGCAGCTTTGGCGGCAGCGCGTCTCCTCTGCCAACTGCAGGTCCATGCGGCAAGTACGACTAGTTGTGCAGCAATGAATGCAGCAGCTGCTAACATAGCTCCAGATGCGTTTACACAAGTGACATCGGTCTCCCTAACGTACACTGAATCTTCTGTGACATTCTTAGCTCGTTGTTTGTCGAAACCGAATTTGTCTGTGATTTGAATGGTTTGTACCAAGAGCATATCGTCAGTGGGGGCAGCTGATGTGGAACGCCTCTTCCTACGTCCGTAAGACATAACGGATCTTAATTCATTTGGCCCACCATCACATTGAACAGGTTCACAAGTAGGCATGCATGGTGTCACCAAAGCCCGGAATTGGACAACCTCAGAAGATGGGAACTTAAATGCATCGAAGTTGGACAAAAGTATCTGAAAAGATAAAATATAAACATTTTATTCTACATACCAATACATTTGAGGCCATTTGAATGGATTAAACTTTATTTTAACTGTACCTTTCCGGTTGATGTAGACTTGAACAGAGGTCCCATGATGAAATGATCAGTGGGGCAACCGTCGCTATCGATAAGGGTGATTTCACTGGAATCGACACCGTCCATAGCAACCAGCTCTCGTACAAAGATTTCGAAGGGTGAGTTGGGATCCATGATCTCAAACTTGAGAGCCTAAAATAAAAAAGTAAATTGAGTATAATACTATTATGGTTATAGCATAGTATTGCATGACATAAATAATTTTAGCGTCTGTATTTACCAAAGGATCTCCAACTTCGGCAGAAACAATGGTGTCGTCTCCGCTCCTGTCGGTAATCTTCATTGCTACATTCGGTGAGTCGACAATGACCTCCTCGGACAGACCAGTCTGAATATCGCCGTGAATTCCAAGATCCACTTCATTAGCAACGGTCTTATTTGTTAAATCATACTGACAAGTCACGGCTAATCCGAGATCAGAAGAGGTGACGATCGTGTCGTGATGCTGAATTACGACGTCATTGAGATATCTGTAACAATTGTAAAGTATTTACTAACTCATACTCAAAGAATAATACCACCTAAATATGATAATAATTATTAACAACAAGCGTCCGTCAGTAATAAACTTAGAGTAAACCTAGAGTTAGAGGTGTTTAAGAAAATACTATGAGAATTACCTGCCAAGTCCGTTTTGTTTAACGTTACACTCAATGTTGTTGTAACCCATATGCAACTCAAATTCCAAACTCTGTTTAACATCAACAACACAAGAGTTGGGGCTTCCTTTAGCGTAAATTTTGCCGTCGAAAAGTTTGGATGTTTGAATTTTGGCGACCATGTCACCAGCTCGGCAGTCGATGGATACGTTATAGCAGGAAGATAGTTCGTAAGTGGCGGCTTCTGGTACTTCAAGGTACGGATCCTAAAATGGAAAATAATTTAAATATGGTGTTCGACGTGCCTTCATAATGTTAATAAACTTCTGCATCAAAGATACAAACCTGAATATCAGCAAGAGTTGCTTTGGAGTGGTGAGAAAGTCGGCATACGTGATCACCAGTATCGCCGTGATCATAAGAGTGACAACGGAAGGGTGAATTTAAACATAGTTCACGACATTCTTCTACTGTCTGTACGTCTTGGTACACGGAATCGACAGTCTTAAGAATACGGCCACTCATTTTTTTGAACTCGCAAAGTTTCGTTGGCTCTTCGACACAGTTGTTCTCTAAATAGTCAGTATCTGTAAGAGGAAATCGATATTTTAAAAGGGTAATATTAACATGAATGTAAAGACAAGGCTGTTGTAACTTTGAACCTTATTAAACAAAGCTCATTTGTATGAAAGCTGTAATTAAATTTTTGTACGCACCTTCATTCGGCTGGAAAGCATTGGTGCCGCCCAAAGTAATCCGATCCATGTTTGATAGAACACACTCGCCTGTTTTGTTGTTGTAGTTCGCCGATCTATAACAAAGTAATACGTTCTTTAAAAGGCGTTCTATTCTTTTTGTATATCCGTGTGAACTTTCCCAGAGTTAACCTCATCCAGTGACACCTTTTATTCGCTCATATGCTTTAACGACTATATCTACTTGTGGTTTATGAACTTGTTATATGGTAACTCGATAACAAGCCAATTATACCACAAAAAGATATGCCTAGTGAATAAGCGTAGCAGAACGTTACTTAAGTATAAACAGCTAGAAACTCATGCATATCTGCCAGCCATTATAAGCATTGTTATAGTTTCTAACAAAAGTCATTAAATCATGTTAGTGGCAGTCCATAATGTTAGGGTTTGCTTAAACGCATATGGCTCGACTGGTTTTATTGCAAGTCGCTTCACGGTGTTACTTATGTAACTGTGACCTCTATAGCCTTTATTACTTTATAGTGACCACCCAAGGACAATATTATCGCATGTTCATCTGTATCAATATTTTCTCTTGATTTACAATCGATCCTAATCAATATGACCCTCGGTCTAACCTGTGCCAATACATCCTTTTAAACTAAGCTACATCGAACAGAACACACGCCTTGTAAATTCCCTGTGGCTGCATATCTCCTTTATCATCAAAGAGTATCTAAACCGATTTTATTTATAAACTTTATCCCCTTAAGCTTAAATCTTCTATTACAAGAATTAACCTCCTTGCTACCTTTTCAAAGTTCATAGTTAATCTAGGACGTGATATTGTGACATTTATGGATTCATCGTATAAATTCCACTTGGCACGAGATGTAGGTCTTTCAATAAGGCGAGGTGTATTCAGTATGGTGAAAGTAGGAAGTGATAGGGCAATCCTCTCCCACACTGGGACGTTAAGCATCCTCTCGCGAAAACGAATATTTGTCGTGACTGTCGAATCGCGATGTCTGGTGCGGGTTGCTTGACTAATCGTACATTATTCATTTACACCTAAGAATGTTCGTGCTTATAAAGTTCTTTTGCAAAATTTACGAACATTTACAGTACAATTTTTATTATACAGGACGAGCTTCAAGTTCAATTATACTAGTAATTATAGTTTAATTCTTATTTCATTGCTCTTCATCAGATATACTTAATCGCCGTAAATGTATCATGTCTGTTAAGTCTCTTATGGAAAGATTTAATTAATATCAAGCAGTTGAGTGGCGTAATAATGTTTCGTTTGGATGGATTAAAACTTATAAAGTCGAACATGGAAGCGTGATCGTAAAACGGATTTATCGTCTCCACTGGATTGTAATCATATGTACTGCCCGTGTATCTATGGAATAAATGCACTCATTTCCTTTTACCCTATGTAATTTCTATCGACGTTACATCAGTATTACAGTAGATTTAATTAAAGTTCCACGCAATAAGAATGATTGGACATCTAGAAATCAAACGAGTAAAATATCTTGATAAGACCCTACCTTATCTGGATGCTAGTATATTAAAAATATCCTTTTAATTAGCAACAGTAAAAACATGCGATAGTGGAACATCATTTTTAACCATATAAAAAGAGGGTTTTTTCGCAGTATTAACCGAATATAGCATAAAGATGTTGCTAACAATAAAACAAGAAATGATCGACGCTATTAGATTTTAAAGCAATGTGCATAACCACAATAATGGAACAGAACTGTTTCTGCCCTATTCAATTGAATACGCTTCAGAAACAACACAATATAAATCTTACTTATTCGCGGAATCTAAGCATTTTCACTTCCTCGTCGAAGGGAATACAAATAAGTAACAGTATTCAATGAAGATGTTATGACCTTTTCTATGCAATGCGATGCCATGAATACTAGTACAGACTGTGAATTATGAACATTTAATATTTGTCCTCGCAGGCCTTTGAACAAACTTGGTACAGTATTATGACTAAGGTTTTTCCTTATTGCAATTTCCTTATACTTAAAAATTAATGGAAAGCAAATTACATACCTGCATACAAACTCATTTTCTCCCAGGCAGAGGTCAAGGCACATGTGCCTAGAGCTGACTGTGTGTGTTTTCTTTCCGCGGCCTTTGAGGTGGTAGCCACGCACACGATCAAAGCACCAAGCCCGTTCACACGGCTTAACACCAAGGCAAGATTTTTGGGCGTAGATCGTGAATACAGGGAATTGCGATTTCGTTAATGCACCTAAAAATAAAATTTATTAATAAGTTTTGTAAAGAGTGTACATTTAGATGATTTATACTAGTTATACAATCCTATTTTATAAAGAATATCTGCATTCAGCAGTCTCCCCTTACCTGGTAATTGGTCAGCATCAGAGCTAAAGAGAACGCACAAGCCTGTTTCGTAGTTCACAGCGCGGCAAGTGTCATTCGATTGACATTGTTCTAAACAATCTGTCAACATTAAAGTGCCAGGGATGTCGTCTAGAATGTGTGATGGCGCTGAGAAAACGTATCTGCGTGAAGAATGATAAGATTTAAGATGTTGCATAATTATACTAATCAAAAGTTCATTCTTATCATTAAATACGTTTTAAATTTATTTTTATTTTATGTCTAACGCGAAATGGACTATCAGGATTAATATTGCAGACAGTTACATGAAAGAAGCAACTTAATCAAAATTAAGGCGTCATTATTTTACGTTTCTCTGTAATAAGATAGTGTATGATTTTACCCAGTGACTAGTTCGAATCCAATCATTTCGGAATCACATTCTTCGAGAGAGTTCGCTGGTGCCGATGGAGCAGATATTCCACTGGGTGCGGATGGTGGAATACCGGCTGCTGTCTCTTGTACAGGCGCCGGTTGTTCATCTTCTTCTTCAGTGGGATCGTCTTCAACTTTTTCAGGTGGTGGAGCGCCGGGATTCTTATACTCTTGGGGAGCATCTACCACGGATGGTTCGGGAGATTCTGATTCTATGGCAAGGTTGTCTTGAGGCGGAGCATCGGCTGCCGATCTTAAAGTCCCTTCGAACTTCTTAGCGGCTTCCACAGCGCACACTAATATCGCTAAACTAATTAAAATCCGCATTGTTCCTCTCGATAAGGACCGTGGCAACATCTGTAACAAAAAAATTAAATGTTATTCAGGAATTTTAGTAAATTTTTAATGATGTGATCTAATTGTAAGGATTACTTATTCCATAAGATAACACGTTGCTCATTTAAATTCTGCGGATACTGTTGAGCTTTTTGCCGGGACTATTTTCTCAGTATTGTTATTTCGTATAATTAAGACACTACGTGGATTATTCCGTAACCTGGTCTTAACTGTGAGAATGAACGTAAAACAATTACGATCTCAATCTAGGGGCGTTAACTTTTTAATCGTCTTTCAAAGTAATTAGAGCTTAATATGACGTATAATATCCTTCATGCTGAACTCTGCTATTTAAAAACCGAAAAATAACTGTACTCGTTACGAAAAATCGGCCAAAAGCTTTCACATTCGATATTTAATTAGAATGTGACCTCGTTTTGTTTCATGATTGTTTTAATTAACGCGTAGAGAACGGTAATTGATAACCATTTAGAAGGCAATAATGTATTTGTGTGAGAATTGTAAAGCGCTTATTAGAGCAAGTTTTTGTACGCTGTTACGCTTAGTCTCACAATGTAGTAACGGTATATATTAAAGTGCTGTCCACAATGGTCAGTGGTACCGTGTTTATGGCAAAAAAATTGTGATGCACATTTTGATTGAAAATTAATGTTAATTATCCTTCGTTAAAAGTAATTATTTCTTAACCTTTTACAAATGCTATTTACTATTGCATCTTAAATAACGTCATTCATACAAAAACTTGTAAAGCGTTTTACTTAATACGATAACAAATTAATGTTTGAAATATCTTGTAAGACATACAAAATTAGATTTTGTTTAAAGTTGTATAAACTTAATGAAAATCTGGGATCTATTTACCAAAAGCCTATGATTGCTACTGCTTGGTAGCAAGTAATTCCGAGAACACGAACTATTCCAAAATTGAATTATGGGGACGTCTGAAAACATCTTCTATACAAAAGTAGTTTTTGTAGCGTGCTCCGCAAATCGATTCCATTGAACCTATTGTTGAACCTCAATAACGAGCTTCTACTTAACTATACATAGCGGTATTACATATTGAAAAATAATGATTTATTTACGGCTAGCGAACCGTCTTTGATCTGCTTCTAGACATTGTAGGAATTTGTATTAACAACTTGTATATAAATTAAATCTCTTTAAAATTTTATTTATTTGTATAGAGTCATGATGGAATTATAGATAAAATAAACTGATTTCTTGTGTATGACAAAAAGGATCCGTTCGATAATTTATATCTAATTATCAGCTAAACATCAATAAGTGTTAATATTATACTGTGTATACGCCATAAAAACTTAAAAGGTGTCGAACATGCCCATTTACATTTGAAATGATATCTAAATAATGAATATTGACAATAAAAGTGGGTGGCATTATAACATTAGCATAATAGATGTGAAGCAAAAACATGACTATTTGCTCCATTTCATAAAACCCGTAACCGCCTTGAAGATTACTAGGAATGTAATACAATTTAGTTAGACACGGTGCGGGATTCAACTATGACGTATAACGTGTATGTTTTGTATGAGTTTCTATTTGTACTGTCATGTAAATTACGATTTATGGTCCAATGTTTGATATGGTTCTCATATTTGACAGGATTAGACGAATCATATTTATTTAATTCAAGCGGAAATTGAGAAATTAATAGAGCGCGCGTACTTCAAACGAAGTTTAAAAAGGTTTATATTTATCCTTGTAAATCTCAGGAAAAGAGCGTACCAAGTCTTAAAAGACCGGCAACGCACTCGCGAGCCCGAATCACTGACCCTCCTGACCGTCTGCCCCCTGTTATTTAAAAAAAATTACAATAATATTACAATTTAATGAGTCTTTCGGTGGCCTAATTAAAATTATTCTAATGCTCGTTTATCGTATTCGCTGTAAGCGAATCGTGTAATTTATACGTATTTGTATTCAATAACAGAAATTATAGTAAGACTATCTAACGTCTATTAGAGAGACCCTTAAAGGGTTTTTAGTAGGGCTATTGTGTTCGATATCACTTGCGAATGTGTGCTAGCCTCGAGCTGTGATCAGATGGGGTCAGGCGCATTGAATGAGGCGGATGCCTCCAACCTGCTATTTACGTTTCACCATACTTGTACTGGTTGGCACACTATGGATATCGGCTGATTTCTTGCTAGACCTTTAAAGACCTCAATCTGTTGTGCCCCTTCTCTAATCTAGTTTAGATCTGGCGTTTATTGAATCTAGTAAAATTTTCATCTTAGATTGGCTCACATAAATTGTAAGAGGTAATGGTGTTTGTTAAAGAAAAAATATAGATAAACGTCTTGAGTTCCAATTCATATTCATAATACACTATACTGGCATAGAACTGTCAACAATGAAAGTTGATAACCTGCGTCTAAATTTAACCATTTACAACCACAGTAGCACACTCATTTACATTGAATGAGGTTCTTATTTGTTGCTCTTAATAAGCCTGAGATAACATTATGATGACATGATGGAATTGTGAACCCGCCTTATTAATGTGCAGGTGAAGACAGGTGTCGATCGCATGTAATTTATTACTCACTTCACATTTTGATGAACTGTGTGAATGTTTGGTTTACTTTACGATAGAGCTCGATCATTTCTATAAATGTACACTTTTTTATTTAATAGGAGGCAAACGGGCAGGAGGCTCATCTGATGTTTAGTGATACCGCCGCCCATGGACACACACATTGCCAGAAGGCTCGCAAGTGCGTTGCCGGCCTTTCAAGAATTGGTACACTCTTTTCTTGAAGGACCCTAAGTCGAACACTATATTTCACCGACAATATTTTCTGATGACACAAATTTAACTTTAAAATACGCTTGAAATAGAACGTCATCTTATATTTTTCAAGCTTAAAATATTCACAAGGGAAGTAATTATAAGATAGATGAAAAGGCAAGGCATGAAGTTGTGGCTGACCACAACGCCGTGCTTTAACCATTTAATCAAAAACTTAATTCGCAGCTTACCAGTGACACAATATTTTCCAGTTTCTCATACATTCTCATTTCCTGCTTACGTTTTCTTCATAAATGTAAATTCCATAAATGCCTGGTAATTTAATGACGATAAGAAACGTTTCTAACATGTTTAGCCTCGATAATCCTCCCGGGTCAGTGGGTTGATAGCATCAGAGGTCGTACGGCTTAATACTGGATCGCGATCTCCCTACTAGTTTGCTAAGCCTGGTAGTTGGATGAGTATATTTAAAACTTCTCTAGTATTATATGACGCTTGAAATTCTTTAAGAGAGCACGTCAGATTTTTACGAAAACAAAACACTAATTTTTCATGGTTTTAGAATAAAAGGCGTCTTCGTCTCATGTCTAAACATTAAATGGATAATGCAAGTCTAAGGTCGATCAATGTATCACAGCCACCGCCTACGAACTTGCGCACGATTACTTAAAGCGTTCAATTTAGATAAGCTTAAACAACAAACATGCCAATGTCGTGTTAAACGTAAAACATCTTTGCTAAATTGCAATTTAAGGTGACCATACTATGTGACTATGCAAGCATTACATTTTCCTAGAGTTTATTTGTCCGTAATCTTCATATCGTTATGCTAACATTTAAAGGTTTTGGTGAAGCTTTTTGCCGTTTTTACTTAATAATAATTATGTTGAAGCAATAATTTAGCTCATTAACTCCGCGAACTATGCTTTATTCGATTTGGCTAAAAACTAATTTTCGGACCATTTTAAATCATTTTTAATGCGGTGAAAGAGTTTTCATATTGAATAACGTAAGTTAGTGTTTCAAAGGAGTAATAGTACCTTTAGTAGCAAAGAAAATCAAGAATTCCTATAACTATTAACGACAGGTAGACAAAGCCTACAATCACAAATGACCACCGTAAAAACCTGTCTAGTTTTCTCCACGATTAATCTCGCTAACTCATTCAAGTAGAAGATTCTAAACGCTATAATTTCGTATTGTTCATGGCGGCTATAATAGAAACTAGGTTTTGGGTGCACAGTGCATCCGTCTTTTATGTCGCTTTCTTTGAATTGCGCAGATTGACCTATTCGGTTTCTTTGCACTTGTTACGATGTTTTTCTAGACTTATTTTAAATCAATTTATTTTAAGGTTTCTATTTCAAAACTCATAACACAAAAAAGTACGAAATAAATCGCGCGTCACAGACATTATTATGTCAACGTCTCTAGGGACCCATGGAGCGCGGAAAATATTATAGAATTCTGTTCATACCTTTTTTATAATAGAAGCATATAATGATATAAAAATCTTCTTAATAATGATTAAATATTTCATGTCTTAGTATGAAGCAACAATAATGATAATAATGATCAGGGACAGTTATAACTATTCTATTGTTCTATAATTTATTTCCAATTAAAAATTCCAATGCATTCGAGGTTAGTTTATTCTATTTGTGAGTCAAACCGGATATGCGAAAAGGTTTAAATTTAATAAAAATCCAACTTTTAATCGTTGAATTATTAACTAAAAATGTTCGATGTTTTAAATATTTAAGTTATAAATAAATGTATATGGTATGTTCCAAAAATCTAAATTGAGCTTTAGTTACACAACTAAATTTGTTAACTAACTTATAAACGTAACACCGACCAATTGTATCACTAAATTTCAATGTTATGTTTAATTATTAAATTATATTTTAATTGAATCTAAATCACGGTTTGTGGCAAGAACTATAAGTGAGAAAGAACTAAAATCATACTAACGTTTTTTAATTTACATAAAAATAACTAAAACTGTTAATAAAATAAAACTCACGTGTCAGTAAACATTTGTTTGATTGACGTTACACGAGTTAGAAGGAAATATTACTTTAAATCAACGACGATTTTCACTTCAAATGAAATAAAGCAATAAAAGTTTATAATGGAAGCGCTTACGTGCCCGAGGCGGCACGTTCAGTGAGGCGCACGTACATTTTATTTATGTATTGCAATGGGAAATCAAGAATAT